CCCCCCCCCCCCCCCCCCTTCTTATGTTGCAGATGATGAAGTTTTCCTGGGACAACTACAAGCGCTACGCCTGGGGCAAGAATGAGCTGCGGCCTTTGACGAAGAACGGGCACATTGGCAACATGTTTGGTGAGTGTCGGCGCTTCGCTTTCAATCATTTTATTTTACATAACATTTTTCTGGATAACAACACGGGGAAAAAAAGCCAAGAACTATCAGTTTTGTTTAGTTTAGTCTGTAAGTTGGAGACACAAGCAAAAACTGAAGTGAGGCTGATGATGGAAGCATATCGGTTTCCCTGAAACAGAAAGAAATCTGCTGTTTGTCGGGTATTTAAAGCACAAGAGTTATATTCTGCATCAAGCAACACTGGTATTATGCAAACATAATGGATTTCACAAGGAAATCTAAAGCGAACAGTGCAGGCTGCATTAAAGTCAGAACTGAAAGCCAACCCCATTTAAAGTAAATGAATCAGTGATCCTGTATTCTTAATGTGAGACACATTGTTCTATACTCAAACATTTGACGTGGTTGTGCATTAAGGTGATCTTCTCATCCAGAGGAGAGCAATAGGGATGCATTGTGCTGGACGCTAAGGTGGCTAGCTGCATGTCGTGACCTACCTGCCGCCAGTCTATTTATGTTTTCTCTAAATGTTTCATTAAATCTGTGTATTCCTCTTTGGGCTGTGTGCTTTAACTTTGAGCCTGTTTCTGTATTTGGCACTGATGGATAGCTGCAGAACACAATGTTGATATTGAAGACCGATGAACACATTTAAAAATGTCAACTTGGGCTCTGGGAGATAGTGATGGGCACTTTTCACTATTTTCTGATGTTTTACAGATTGAATGACTATTGAATAATTAAATTAATAATCTGCAGATAAATCAATACTCAGAATAACAACAAAAAGTCATTGCTGTATATTGCTGTGTTCACACCAACACAACGCAAATTATTCGCGTGACGAGATTACATACAAAGTCAATGCAAATAGATTCGACCTGTTTGCGCCTCATTGAGCTTTTGTCACCATACTTTCCCGACCTTTCACTCAGCATGGCAAACCTCACAACCTACTGGAGGTGTCTGTCTCCCAACAGCCTAATTGGAGCCAGATTCCGGAGGGGGCTCCTCAGGTCCTCTGCAGTGGAGCATATCAGTCCGTTCACACGGCCGAGCCAGAGAGAAATCCCACAAAGAAGCCTTTAATAAAAGGCGGATCAGCTCTTAATAAGACTTGGCCGGGTCTGCTCGCTGTCTTCCATACCTGAGTTCTCCCTCCATCACATCTGTAGAGACTGAGGATTATTAAGGTGATGATGCAAACTCTCTTGAAAATACAGTTTGTGATCCCTTATACTGCGCTCAGTCCCCCGAGGTTGCCAAGTTCATAGTTGAGAGGAATCCCTTTTATGCGCTGCCCTTAAATCATGTGATAGGTGTTATCTTTCAAAGCAACACATGCAGATTTATTTTCTGATGAAATCTACCAGAAAGATCATACACACCCTGATTTTGCCTGAAGTTAAGATATTTTTTCCAAGTAAGTCACAGCAAAGTGTGTTTTTATTATGAAAGGATTTGTAAATTAATCCGTTTGTTCACTGTTCCCTGATAGTAACACGGATGTACAAAGAATAAGGTGATAAAAAAAGGAAGAAATGTGTTCATATGCCAATAAAAGTGAGCAAGGTTTTGCAGTAAGCTGTTGATGATTTTGAGTAAAAAGCATTAAGAGGAGTTGATGGCGGTGATGTCAAAGTGGCTTTGAAGCATTCAGTGCTTTTGTAGCCCAGGAGTGCCCATAGAAGGAAACAAGACACATCAAACACTCATGTTACCACTGCAGTAGCACAAGATGGCTTTCTTTCCACATAAAATAGTTTAGAGTAATAAGAACTCACAATGTATCCCATCTTTTGATTAAATAGGAATCAACGGAACATTTCCACGCGAGTACATTTCATTGACATGTAATTATCAAGTGCTTTGACTAACAAACGACATACATTTCATACATCGGTAACAAAGACATGAGAACAGATTAAATAAACTACAACAAAGCCAAATTGATTTTGTTGATTGAATCTACTCTCTGTTTGAAAACCTACTTTGTTGAAAGGCCTTTTAATATGCTGTGAAGAGGAGAGGTCTGTCGAGGCATCTTCTACTCGCACCACTTGTGATGTAACGCATCATTTGGAAGGAATAACAGCCGAGGACATTGAAAACTAATGGACTGTACTGTTGTCGATACTAAAACTTGGGGAATGATGGAGACGGTGATGAAGAGTCGGTTGCTGTGATTTGTTTGTGTTGAAGCTGAATTAAGCAACGTGTGACTGCTGGAGGGCAGGAAGTAGACTCTCAGCAATGAGCCTTGATATGAGCTGTTTAGGTTGTGATGGTAAGCACATTAGCAAACAATCGCTATATATTACTTACAGATGCTGTACAAACGTCAATATCAGCATCCCATTAGTGTTGTCTCTCACAGCGAGACGGCTGCCCTGTAGGGCTTTAGGCAACGAAGGACAATCTTGGTTGACTGAAATTCTCTCTACTCTACATGTTACTCCAGAGTAACTAAATCAGCCACAGTGCACTCTACCCAGTAGCCTACATGAATGACACATAAAGATAAAAAGGTAATTATTATATACTTAAATGACAACGCATGATCAAAGTCGACCAGTGCACCTGCCAATAATCGTATGATGTACAAAAATAGAAAGAGACGCCAAAGCTGTCGTTGTGCCAGCAGTTATATTATAAACAAAACGATGAGATTATTTATCAAACCAAACGAATCAAAATATGACAATTTTGCTATGTTCACACTCGACGTTTATCAGGAAGTGATCCGCCGACCCGTTATGACAGCCAATCTGCACCACCCAACCTAAAAACAATTATATTACATTTATATTAAATAAAAAAGCAGCACCAACGATTGTCCCAACGACGACAATTAGGTCACATTAACTTTGTGGTGTTCTGAAGGCTTTGCGCGGATGTGTTTTTTCTGAAGAGGGTTAAATTACTGACTTGTTTTGTGCTGCCTCCAATATCAACAATCTCCACAGGCATCAGAAAGTTGTAGGAGAAACACACAAGTTGAGCAATCGCAGAGATACCATGGAGATACTCTGCGTGCGTACTACACACACGCATACCATTTCATTTAGGGCGCTAATGTGTTTAAAAGCAAAAGTGACTCAACCACATAAAATTGCGTGAAAGCAGCTGAAACGTGCAGTGAGATAGAAACGGGTGCATTCATTCTCATTGAGATCAACAGTACGAGCAAACCTTTCACATTAGAGGACATTATTTGACCCAATGTAAATATATTATATATATTATATATATATATATATATATATATATATATAATATATAAAGCTTTAAAGCTCTCCAACACAATATAAGAAAAGGTTTCTGGCCCCAGAAAGAGTCGATAGCTATTTTCTGTGTGTTATGAATCAACTGGTAACAGGAAGTGCCTATTTTTCCACAGCAGATATCTCACATTGAAGCCACACTTTTGATATCGCTCTGCTGTTGGGGCCAACGGTTTCATCATAGTGCAACCCTCGACTCTTGGCAGCTAGTTGCAATCTTTGCAGCACAGCTAAGCAGTGCACCTTTACTGCAGATCCAGCCTATAATGCAGACATTAAAGACAAAATAAGCTGTTCGTCTCTGGGAGTAGAGAACATAGTCCCGTCTCCAAGTGTGGGGGAGGGGGAACGACTTCATGGTTAATCCTAGAGGCAAATGTATATTTCTCTTCCGTGTGACGCTGGCATCAGTTTCAGCTCTCAGCCGTCCTTGTCTGCTACACAGTGCGTTATCGGCGAGTCAAAGGGAGAGGAGGAGAGAAAGGGCATCGCGCTAGCGAATAAATGTCACATTGCGAAGGGTGGTGCAGGAAGCCAGGTATGAAATTGGATGCTGTGTTCTTTAATTTAATCCCCAGAGTAGACAGAAATGCGGCACGATTGGATCTACAGTTAGCGTTTGCGTCAGAAGCTTGTCAATATGCTGCGTGTCACCAGAACATCCCTTCTGCTCGACACTCGCAGAAGCACAACAGCAATCACAGAAAGGCAGAGGGAGACGTTTTCCTCTGCTGCACTCACTCCTTCCCTGGCACGCTTTCACTTAACTATAATCTTTCTCTCAACCCCCCCATTCCCTTTTTACTGTAATACCTCCTCTTTCCCTTTGTCATGACCCTCAAGGCTGAAAGCAGCTCTCTCTTTGTTCTTTCCTCTCAACCAAAGTTGGTTCTGATAGACTTTTTTTTCCTCTCATTTCCCCTTTTGTCATTTAAAATACAATATATCTTTTAGTGCTTATTAAAAAGTGTATTTTATCTTCGGGCAATTAGAAAGCGAAAAACTGTGCTATTTACGGTGCTTTCAGCAGTTCTGCCTCCTTGTATTGATTGTGTGGGAGTTCTCACACTGTGAGGATAGAAATTCATGGAAAAGTTAAAATATGCACATTCATGCTCTCTTTTCCTCAAGAAACAATGTAACATTTTGATTGGTAAGCATTATGTGAACATATTCTTTTAAATGTAGTATTGAAATATTGCACTAGGAAAGCTCAAATATATTTCACAGAGGAATTATTGGGTTGCCGGTTGGTCATATATGAAAGATCCGGTAGTTCCACCATGTTTCCAGCTCCCCTTTGATTTCATTAGATTACTTTTTTGTCATGGTAATCATGTCGAATATTAAATCTCCTGGAGCATTATGGAATTGCGGAGAGCAAAGGGATGAGATCAAGGCCAGATTCTCCTGCAGTGTGACTGATGACAACATTTGCTGCATTTACTTTTGTCTCCAGCCTCAGAAATCCTCATTAGTTTTGGTCAAATATGACGGAAAGACATGAACTCACCATCATAGATGAACAGCTGTCGCTATACCCACAAACTAATGGAAGCGGTTGAGTGCTCCTATTATAGAGAGTAATAATCATAGAGCTCAATTTTATTGATTAATAACCTCTGTGATGGAAAAGTTGATCTTCTTTTGAAGAATACACAAAAACATTGTTTTCACTGTTTACAGAATGCTGATGTAACGGGGAATTACTTTACC